TGAAATAATTCAGCTTTCAATAGGTTTTAATATAATTTGAAGAATCTAACATCTTTTCTAGACTGTGAAGACCCACTATTGGTATTTTTATGACAGATGAAGCAGTAGCAGTGAAATTTATATTCAAAGAATTTTTACTTTCGGTCATTCTAAACTGTTAATATTTATTTTTCTGTAAGGACCAATGCAAATTTTGAAGCTGACAGGCATTTGTAATTGTTTCGAAGCCATGGGATTTCTTTTTCCTATTAGATATGCCTAACCAAGATAGGGCATTGTGCTACAAAACAGGAGAAAGGCAGAATTAGGAAATGGATTTTGGAATGAAATTAAAAGCGAGATTCTCTATGTATTAAGCTCTGTGCACTGTATGGCTTTTTTTTAAAAAAAAAAAAAGAGGTTATTTAGAAAAGAACATTCCTTTGCTATGATTTATTCCATGTGCATTATCTAGCTCCATTACTGAAGTTAAATATTTGAAAGTTGCATTAATTTTTCCAATGTATTTGGGGACTGGTGAGGAGCTTACTCTCCTATACTTTTTCAAGAAACAGGATAGTTGGATGTTTGCGATGCCACTCTGTCTTCTTGGAAGAAAAAAATGAGGGATGGAGGGTAAATATCAAGTAATTTGTGTCAGGTGTATGCTCCAAATGAAAGTCCATCAATCATTTTTGGCCCTTTAGTGCAATGATTATCATTTCAAAGACGCAGGAGGACATTAAAGATAATGGCTTTTCTGTTGTCTATTATCTCTAACAGACTTCACATAATTATTAACATGTGTTCCCATTTAAAAAGAGTGTCAATATTTTGAGTGAATTGCATTTTTTTTAACTGAAAGGGATATGTCTGTCAGCAAGTTTTTTGTCCATCTAACTAAATGAGGAATTTAAATTAATGAACTTTGTGTTTCCGCAAGAAGAGCAGTTATTGCAGAAAATGTTGGATGCTTTGCAAGGTTGAAACACAACTGTCTTCAACATTCTGCATAAGATAATAAACTGCATGCAAAGTTAAGTAAAAGTAGCAGAATGCTAGTGCACACTCTTCCAAGGCACTCTCCCTTTCTTTAATGATTTGGGCTGTGCTGAGAAGAATGAATACGGCATTTCTTACTTACCGCAGAGCTCCTCTGTTGTGTAGGATGGGAAAAGTATACATGAGGGGTAAACATCTATCTTTGTGGTTCTGTTTGTTTTTATGGTTTTGGTAGGAATAAAGAAAATGAATTAAGTTTTTTGCCACCTTTTCTTTTTTCTTTTTTTTTTTTTTTACCACTTTTGTCTTGAAACATTGGCAGTTGCTAGACATTTAGAAAAAGGATAAAAAAAAATTTTCTTCATCCGATAGATAAAGTTAGAGAAGTTTAGTTAGAAATACACATCTTAAAATACTAAAAACATGGATAAGATCTTAAACTGATTCATCCAAGTAAATATAAAATAGTTAAATATGGCTCTTCTTTGATAAGGCATAATATATGGTCTTAAGGTTCTGAAATTTCATTGGTAGTCTTGGGGTGTTTATGTAAAAATGGTGGAGGGACATACTTGCTTCTTGTGCAGGATATTCCTCCTCCATTTGAACAGGGTTTCAGCAGGCTACTTATGGGTCCAGGCTGTTGACTTCACTATAAAAGTTAATGAGAAGGAATGAAGGAAAACACTCTGATATCTAGAACAGCTTTTTAGCTTATGGTTTCTCTCACAAAATTTAAATATTATGGAAAGAATCCTTGCACCAGCAGGAGGAAGGATTTAGCTCTTAATCACTAAAGTAAACTGAATCTGTGCTGCACCAGTAAGTGTCGTGCACAGAATGTAGACATTAAACTTAGACAAAAGTGGGTCTGCCATATAATATTGAATGAAATATGTTTCTTGCTACACTAGAGAAACACATTTTAAGAGGAATGACAGATTACTTTATGAATGTATTGAAGCTTCACTATGTCTCTACTTTTACATTGTATGATAAATATTGAAAGGTATAAAAGAGACACTTGTCTAAAGCAGATCAACTAACTTAATAATGTTAAAAAACACTCTGGGAACACCACGTTGAGCAAATAGTGTTACAGATCAGTGAATTAAATGAACTAGCATTGGCACGTACAGTTTTGTCCCTGAGCCATTAGATGCTGCATCCATTACACCGACGCATTCATCGTCTGGGAGCGGCAGGCAGCTGGCAAACCCTGCCAGCTGGCATAGCAGCATCAGCTGCCGTCAGCTGGATCTTAGCTGCTTGCCTGTCACTGCCAGCTAAAAGCAAGTCACAATATGCTGAGAGGTGAGCAGTGATTTGTCTTTTAAAAGCATAGACTAAATAGTTCAATGCAGTCTTTACAAACTTCCATTTTATTTGCCTTATGGTTTTTATGAGCTGGAAAACTGAAGAATTTTTTGTATCTCCTTTCCATTTAGAATTCATACACACATGTAATTCCCTTCAGTGGCTCCTCCAGAATAAGCATTATTTGGTGTGAAATGGCTATTTTGGACAATATGTTCTGGTTTAGTGCTGATCTTTCAAGATGCACATTGGTTTTAAAGTTTGTAACAAAAGTCCTGTATAATTTCCCAATATTATGACTGCCCAGTTTGAGCAATTCTGTTGTCTTATTTCTATTTGCTCTCTAATGAATAAAATATTAGCCTTCATTTAGAGATTTCACGTTGTTGAAGCCATTTCAGGTAGTCTGAGTCTAGTTTGATGGCTGGTAATTATGACCATGTGTACATTTGTCTAAAATGCCTGTTAATATACTGTTGGTTGGATGTTTTAAAACATGAATCTTTACTTCAGCTTTTAAAATTATAGAAGCTCTTCTCTAAATTTACTGTACTAGTCTTCTAAGGAGCAAGTCTTGCTAAGCAATGGAAGTTAGTTTGATTACATTTAATAATATGTTAGCATTTAAAAATAACAGATTTATTTGAAATGTCATACTGTCTATAACGGCTGTAGCCTGGAACGGTTTTGTCTCAAACTAGGCATATCTAAATAGGGTTTATGACAACCTATGAATTTGCCCCTGAACAAGGTCAACTTGGAGGTCAGTGAATGCAATACAAATTGCATACTAGTCAAGCCTGTAATTATCCCTGTACGAAGTTAATGTGTTGAGGAGCTCAGCAAATTCACTTGAAGTTTCAGAAATGGCCATGATAAACTGAGTAGTTACTTATAGTAGTTACTCTGAAAAATTGCAGTTAACAGGATGAAGTGCTTAGAGAGTGTTCATTTCTGGTAACTTGTAGCCAAGTCACCATGTATAATTATGCATTCTGAGAGTTAGGGGCCTGATTTTGTTTTTTCATTTGAAGAAAATATTTTAAATAGTGTAAAAACAGTATTCCTTTGTTGATGTCCAGTATAATTGCTGCAAATTTAACCTTCAAAGTCTCAAATTCCCAATTTTGGCAGAAAATATGTGACATCCATTCTAACATAATTTCATTAAATTAAGTTTCTACCACTGACATAAAATAAGATTTTTGTCTGATCTTTGTTGAAGACAAAAGCCTGTATTTGTACTTATTCATATCCTGTCCAATTTCACAACCCTACAAGTAGTAACTATGTTTTTTTCTGGAAAAAATGTTACTATTGCTTCTCTTTTTCCTGTATTTTCAGCTACAACTTCTATATAGGTGAATAACTAGATAGCAGCACAGTTAAATGTTCCTAAGTCTTATAAAACCCATGGGAAACGCTTAAATTAGTATGAGTTTTATCATTTAGCTGTCTGTAATGTGAACATCTGTAACAATATCGGAGGGAAAGGAAACTGTTAGCAAAGTAGCATTTGTTCATTTGCATTACAAATTAAGCCAGCTGCTAGAATATGAACGTTTTCTTATTTTCAAGAACTTCACGTCTGTGTTGCACTTTGTGATGCGATTATCTTATCTTGCTTAAAAAATAAATCAAAATTGCACATACAAATAGTGCAAACACGATGGGGAAATTTTGTTCAGAATACAAGTTTCACATATCATATCTGTCTCTTCTGACATCTGAACTACATTTCTAAAATCCTGACAGTTTTCCTGTGTGACTTTATTTATTTTACTGATCAATATCAGTATCACTAATTTTAATCAGCAGATTAATCAGCATAACTTCCTCAAGGTTTCCCTGATCTGATCTCCTTCTCTTCACTCAACATCTGAAAGATTACAGTCTAAATGTTAGTTATTATACTAACAAGTATCTGTTACCCAAACTATGAACAAAACTCTAATTCATTTGGATTGTCAAAGGGGAGGAAGAAGCACAGTCAGACACAAGTGAAAGGAATCCTTTCAATAACCCATACTGATCCAGAAGTAGTGCTGGGAAGTGCACGAGAAAACATATCTCCAATTCTCTTTGGTCAAGAGATGAATCTCTGTCAAAGAGAGTAAAATGTACTCTTACTGAAAAATCAACTCTGAGATAAACGAATGCATCTGTAATGTACTCTGAGTATCTAAAGAATACTCTGAGAGAGTGGTCAGGTACTGGAATGGGGTGCCCAGGCAGATGGTTGAATCACAGTCCCTGGAGGTGTTCAAGAAACATTTAGATGTTGTACTAACAGACATGATTTTAGTGGGAAAATATTGATAATAGGTGGATGGTTGGACTGGATGATCTTAGAAGTCTTTTCCAAACTTGGTAATTTGATGATTCTATGATACCTTAGTTTTGCCCCAGTGAGCTTAAGGAGACGGGTTAAAAACTATCTTCCAAAATGAAGATTTGATGCACTTTCAGTTTTACTTCTTAATAGTGTGCTTCAAGTAAGAGCTGATGTGGTGAGAATTAAAGCTTACATATATCAGGTATTCATTAAAGTGCCAAGCTCAAGATGAGATCTACTGCTTCATTTATTAAATATAAATGTTTCAAGAAACATTCAATTTAACTCAAAGTTATGTGAGTTTATGGGAATGAAGAATCTGCAGAATGTTTATTTGATCTCAGATAATTTTGAATTATCTTTCTAGATTATCAAATTGTTGGATGGAAAGCGATCACAAACTGTGGGAATTTTAATATCCAGTTTGCACCTGGAGATGAAGGATATTCAACAAGGTAAGCAGTATGTATGATATATACATAGTATCATACATTGTATATACATTGTATACTATAATGTATGATATATACATAGATTTTTTTCTCATAGGACCACTCAGAGAATTTCTTACAGTATGTACTTCAAGTATGGTCCCCTTTATTGTATCTGAAGAATTCTTCTTCCAGCATATTCCTGTATAGGTAAAAGTTTCAACTAAATAACCAGAAGCAAATTTTGGTACAACTCCTGTCCCTTTTCAGTTCATATGTCACTTTCAGTACAGTGTTTTCTCAAGGTGGTTCCATATTCCTGCACACCTTTTGCTTAAGCAAGTTTCACATGGACAAAAACTCAGTATTGGTTTTCTATACAAGTTTTTAGGACTTTAAACATGCTTGTATGCATTTGTTGAATATTTGCATTTTGTTTCATTAGCAATATAAAATGCACATTTGAAACTGATGCTGCTACCATGCAGCAATCAAGAAGATAATTACCGCATGGCATTTTTGAAAGCATTGGGCTAGTCGGTGTATAAATTCCATCACTGGTAGAAATTATCTGAGTTTGGCACTACAACTGTAGAGAAATGAAGATTTTTCAGAACCCTGGGGTAATTCAGATTCTGCTTATGTTCTGGATTTTAAAAGATATTGTTTAAGGATATTGTTTATTTCTTTTTCACATTAAAAAAAAAGAAAATATCCACCATTTAAAACAACTGCTGGAAGAATTCAAGTTGATGTCTCCTTTTTGCTATTGTTTTCCTTCCATCACATGCAAATGCTGAGTAGAGTGTTGAGATGCTGCTGGCATTGATTATTGTTAATTTCAGAAGAGCCTTTGAGCATCTAACACTTTAAAAGCACAAGGGCTAACAGATGGCTTTTGGATTGGAGGGGAAAAAAGAAGAAGAAACAACTTTATGCCTGCCAGTATTGTGTGAAAGGTATTAGAATGAGATGGAGAAAAAATATTAAATATTAAAGATCTGAATAATTTACCGTCAGGAATTATAGCAGCATAGGATAAGATAGCAATTGCAATATAAAAACAGGGTAGTTCTTATGGTATTCAGAAAGGCTTTCTGTTTTCCATGCCATTATGTTCTCCTAAAATAAGGCATTGTGAATGCAACATACATATCTGTAGCTATCTGTCAGTTTGCCATTCTTCTGCAGCTTTTGAAGTCCTCAGGCCAATTTATGCCCAATTTAAGATAAAAGCATAAATATTCAAAATGTTTGTACGTATATACACTAGCATTTAAGTTTGAATAAGCAGTGCACTTTTGAAGCTTTCCTCTTTGCTGTGTATGCAGAGCATTGTGGAGCTGTTTGAGTGCACAGTGGTGAGCTAGTTAAAACTGCAGCTCCCTGAACTGTGTACAGCGTATGGGCTGTTTCTGTCTGCAGAACAGAACTACTCTGATTGTAGTTGTAGACACTGTTAATATAGTCCCACAAGTTTAATGAAAATTAGAGTGTTGGTAGAAAAGAGACACGGAAACAAGTGCTGCCACTGAAGGAAAGTTTGTAACTCGTCACCCTCTCTATTCTGAGAGGTAGCAAATGACTGGCCTGTCACCACGCGTGTTACTCAAGGCACCAATAGGATATGCAGCTGCTTGGTTATGAGAACAGCTAGGAGATTAAAATAAAAAAGGCGGAGTGGATTTGGGAATACAGCTTATGAACATCTAAAGAAAAAATAGGAAACATTCAAACTAGTATGAATGGCTCTAATCGAGATCTGTGGATAGATAGAGGTGTAGATTCTATCTTGGGAACAGACTCAAGGAAAGCATCTACATCTGTTCTGTAGAAAGAACCTTTAGAAATGTGTACTATAATGAAGGCAACGGTATATGTAATGCTTCTAGTGTCTGCTTATCCCATATTTTCTGTTTAATTTAGTCTCTATGAAGTACTGTCTATTGGCAGACAAATTCTTTAAGAGCTGCTATAGTTAGTAACAAAAGCAGACCATGATACACTCTTAACAACATTTAACCCAAAAAAGAACATTATCATTTGGTACAGAATGTCAAAAGGTGGTTGTTTTGGATTATTTTATTATTATTATTTTTAGAAAGTAGAGTTAAAAATAGTTACCTTTGAGAAACTTGATAATTAAACACTCATCCGTCTTTTCAAACCACATTACATTGCATAATTTGGTACACAAGAGGGAGAGAGAAGTTACTTGTCTTTTTCAGCTTGCAACAGAGAATTAAAAAACTTGAAAGAAATGGAATTGGAATGACAAAAAAAAAAAAAAGGTACCTAATTTTATTTCAAGTTGTTCTGACCATGTTTCTTAAAAATCCATATAGAAATGAATTTACTGTCTATAACGGACTAAGTGGCAGTTCTAGGAAAACTGTCCCCAAATTACTTTAGTGAAGAATTGCGATATGCACACAGAGGAATGCAAAAATTAGAGAATTGCGGGGAAAACAAGAATAGTCACAAGAAAAAAAAACACGTATTTCCCTAAAATGCTGTGGGACTTCTGCATTTGTAGGAATATTCTCTCAGACTGGAGTAAATAGCTTCACAGCATATTCTTTCGATAGCTCAGCAGTGCAAAACAAATCAGTGGCCATATCTGGCACACAGATGTTTCACTTCGCATTTGATAATGAGCCAGATGCCACAGTTTGGGAAGAGAATCTCTCACACGTGTTTGTTTGAGGGAATGAAGTTCATCCTTTGCAGATAAATTTAAATTCTTGCTGTATCTGAGTATCATCTAGGGAGAAGACAGGGTAAAAATGAATCAACATTTTGTGTAGTACTGGCACTTATATGATGCAGAAGGAAAGTTTATGTTACTATGCTGCACCTGTCAAGATACACAGTATTTAGTAGGGGGAAGAGGAAGAGTAATCCTTCCCACCTTGTGTTGCAATATTCTGAGACCACTAACAAATTTTAATGATGAATCTGGTACTGAAGATGGTAATATAGTTTCTTGTTAGACTACTATTAATAATATTATTTTCTTGAGCCAAAGAAACAGACAGAATATCTGTCTGTCTCAGTAAGCTTTATAGAATCTGCATTTATATTTTAAAATCAAATAGAGATAATAAAGTTGTGCATAGGCTTGATATTATTATTTTGAAGTCATTGTTTCAGTGGTGTTGTTTTGTTTTTTTTTTTAGAGATGATGAATAGTGGAAATTAGCTGTTAGGTGTGGAACATGCTATAATATTACACATTGACAGTAGTATAACTCCTTTTCACATCCGTGTACTTCTGCCTTACTTTTTCTGTCATTGTTCAGCTGAAACACAACAGCTTGAGAGACAAACTTGTGTCTCAAGACTACTTGTGTGGCTTTGCTATTAAAATATTATGACTCACTCCATAGTGAGAAGATTCAGTTTTGTTTCTAATGGGAAATACTGTTTATAAATGTATGCAAAGACCCTCCGTAGGTCCCAACCGCTTACTGACCAATGTTCCATTACTCAAGCAGTTCCCTGTGTAGTAGTCAGTAAGTGGTTGGGACTCACAGAGGATCTTTGCATACATGTATAATCAGTATTTCCCATTAGCAATAGCAGTAGACTAGAAAGCAAATAATAATAATCTTTTCTGCAGTTTAGGTCATCTGGGCTGACTTCCCATGATAGTTGTTCAGGAGGACAGTCACAAAATTGAGAGGCAGCCCAGATGAAAAACAGTAACAGAAAGCAGGATGTAGATAAAATTTAGATGCCTATGTTGAAAAGAGTGATTCTCTCAAATCAATCCCTACTCCCATTAATACCTACTTTTTTTTTTTTTTTCACTAAACTTGCAGAGCACCAGAAGTTCTGCTTCTGTGTATTGCTGGTAATAATTCATTGTCTAATACCTCCTATTTCCATTATAACAGATTAATTAGATGTTCTTACATACTGGCATGTTTTCTTAGGGACCAAATCAATGAAATGCAATGGATCACAAAAGATGCATGCTTTATAATCCATTACACTATTTGTGACTAAAAAGTGCTGTTTTAATTCATGCAAAACAGCTGCAGGCTTTGCTTGCACATTTGCCCAGGGAAATGTTCAATGTAATAGCACTTTAATGGTGCCAGAACTTAGCTTGTATGGCAAAGAAAAGAGAAAGTTGAAGACTGATCTTTGGCATTATGACTAAATGTCATAGTGACTAAAAAATAATTTTTATTTCCTAGGCTTTAAGCAATTAAGTGTCATGACTAAGACTCTATGTATTAAATCAGAAGAGCACTGGACAACCTATAATAGCATGTATGGAGACCTAGTGGGTTTATTGTGCGTTTGAAACATACTTGTGTTCACAGATAACGTGAACTATGCAGAGACACATTATGCTTTGAAGATACTAGAGAACATAAATCACATTTAGATGGAATGGATTAAAATCGATTTTGTTACAAAACCTGGCTTGTGCCGTCTGCTTTTGTATATTTGTCTTCATGGGAAATTCTGGTGATGGACAATGCAAGTAACTGCTATGCCAACATACTTCAATATTTTTTCATGTTGCAGGGGACCAATTATCTAGAAAGAGCATGATTATAGTACTGTTGTGCAATGGTAGTCTTCTATGTAGTCTTCCTTCACTGAGAGGTCATGCCAGTTTATATAACTGGGCTACATATCCTGCATATTCTTGATGCAATATATGGCTTATGGCACATCTAAGCTGTAAAGAACAGTATCATTTTTAATCAGGCAGTTTTCTCAACACCCCATGGTCTATCTGTGCCTTAAATGCACCGTGCAAACTATTCTTCCAGAGCAAGTCTAATCTGCAAACCTTAGTGTGCTCAGAATTTCTGAATCCCCACCTGTGTTTTAAGCATATCACGTGGCACAAATGACTTCATAATTCTTTTCCTCCTTATATTTTGAAAATATCTCTGTTTAAGGATAGATGCTTTGGAGTCTTTCTTACTTGTACTAAATGAAAAGAATGCTAGGACATTTCACCTAAAGCATTTGTGAAATGGGAACAAAGATTTATAAAAGTTAAAACTGTTCTGAAATTGTGTGACTTTTTCCTCTATACAGAATACATGCTTTCTATGCATTCTATATATTATGCACAAAGCACAGAGATGGCTCCATACACATCTCAGAAGCAGGGAAGCAATTTCCTTTAAAAGTTATTTTCTTTGTTCTGGAAAATTCACAACATATGTTTTTGTGCATCTGCCTTGGGCATCCAGTCTAATGTGGGTAGGCTAACTTTAGTGCCAGAGTCTTTTGCTCGCGTCTTCTTGCTTGCAGCAGTTGCGTTTTCTTACTCTTCCAAAGCTACAGCTTGCATGTAGTGCTTCTTAGTCCTGTGTATTTTAATGTTTTTGTGTTACATTATAGTTAAATGTTGGTGAAAATCTTTAAATGAGTTCAAAACACCAAATCAGTCAGAAGTAAACTCGAACAATTTTGATATTTTAGGTAGTTTTGCAAAATGGGTATTTCTATTTAGCTGTCACAATCCCTTTCTAGTTGACTAGATCAGTAACATTTTCATTTACATGTCCAGGTGATAGGCTTCATGTTCACATGATATTAAGCCTTACTGTGCAGAATATGGTACATTAAAAAGTCAGGTACTTCAGGCAAATGAATGAAACTTTGTCAAGCGCTTTTTATTAAAATAGCATATTTCTGTTCTATCATTAGAGGGCAGTTAAGATAAATTCTTCATATTTCATAGTTTAATTGTCATTTTAAGTGTTTTAATACTGCTAAGTATATGTAAGTTCTGTCATCAGGAATTAAATCCTGATTTAACTGAAATGTGCATAATAGGAGTGAGGCTGTATATCAGAGACAGTCTTAAGACTGTTGGCATTTAAGCAAGTTAAGAAGAGATACCTTTTTTATGTTTGATCTTTAAGATCTACTTTTGTATGTAGACTGCAGACAGTATGCTTTAAGTTCTCAGCTTTTCTTTGGTTTACATTTTTGAAGTGATAAAATAGAGTATGTGAAAAATCTGTGCTGGTAGGGAATCTGTTTTTTACAGTTAGATACGTTTTTAAAAGAGTCTGTTAAAGCCTTTGGTAAAAGTTTATGTTTGAAGCAATACTCTTAGTATGTGAAATGTAGTTGGCAAGTATTTTTATGTGTGCTTGTTAGTTTGAATGCATGATGCAGATCTGTTTTTTGTCCTAGCTGACGGTTATTATATCCTAATGGGTGCAACCCTGCACTAATGATCCTTGTGTATATAAATTCTTCTTGTTGTGAGCAGACACCATAGGCCACATAAAAATGTTTGCCTCAATTTCCCTGCAAGAAAGGATCTCAGAAACCAGACTTGGCCAAGTAACAGATTTTTTAAAGGTAGAGGAACCCAATAAAATTACCAGCTTTTCACAGCATGAGTCTACTTCCTTTTGACATATTGTGAGGTGTAGGTGAAATATTCTAACTGAACTGACAGTGTAAGGAAGACAGCTAACTAGAAAGCAAGATAAAAGTAAAAAACACCAATGATGATTGATATTGTAATAGCTATTAATTGTTTTGGAGCCTCTTTTGTAGATGTGTGATAATTCACCTTTATTACTTACACTTATATGAGTCTTGATATAATGAAATGTAATACATTTAAGTGTCATGATTAAATTCACAGTATCTGGACGAGGGTTTTGAAAACTTATTTTATCTGCATATTCATATTAATTTTTAATTATATTAAAATACACATGATTAAAGCTTGGCTTTGTTTTTAACTGAAAAAATAAGAAGTTTTCTTTCAGTTCTAAAAAAAGAAAGTAAAATAATTAGTTTCTTTGATCTAGTGTAATAGGCTTTTTTCATCTGCCCCAACTCAAGTTAATTTACACAGCATACTGCGAATGTACTGCACACGCTTATTTTAAGAATATGAAGAATATCAAGACACCTGTGAACTGGGGGGATTCCTTCTAGCTTTTCAAATCAATGTGTGTGTGGGTTTGTTTTTTTTTTAAATGACCAATTTTTGTAATTTTACATTTTCATTTTTGTGTTCCGCAACAAATGCATTTTATGTTAAGCTTGATCAGCTTGAGTGTAAAGAGCTAGAAGGACAAAAGTAAAGAAAGATTAAATAAATGAGTCTGCTGTAGATTTTGGTAGTACTTCTGACTTTTTGGAATTGTGACCCTACATGTAGTAACATCCGAAGATGTCAAACTATCATTAAATTAATACAGCTAGATTTTTAACTGTGCCCCATCTGCACGGGTATTGCCAGTAATGTGCTAACTTATTAGATTCCGTTTTACTGGATTAATTTCAATCATTTTGGCATACAAAACAGTTTCTCATGTCAGTTGGAACCAACACTGTTTTCTTAGATCCGTTGTTAAGTACCGAAGTGTTCATCAGAATTTAGCACTTTGTGATTTGGGAGCCTTTTTTGATAGATGTGTGACAGTTAGATGTACAAATCTTGATGTTCTTATTGTGCTTTTTTGTTGTTTTTTTTTTTCTTCCAAACTTTTTGCTGTCATCCTAATAGTCCTGTACTTAAAAGATTTATTCTTTCTTATGTTTTGCATTTCTATTATTAGTTAAACTTATCTCCTATTAGATGCTTTTCTGAACAACTCAGTAATAATATTTTTTTCCTTCAAAAGCAGATTTCAGAGTACCCCAAAATAGGATGTAGAGAAACCACAAGAGAAAAATGTTGAACTAAATATATGTATTTAAAAGTCCTAAAAATTAAATGTATTAGACTGTGAAATCAATTTTCCAATAGTTTTTCCAGTTTCTTTGGTTCTATTAATATTTCATTGGATAATGCAAAGGATAATTAAATTTGTGAACTGTCTTGCTAGGGCCAACAGATGATCTCATAGATTCAGTCAATAATTATTTTTCTTTATAAACAGAATTTGGTTTAGCTCTGTAGCTTGGGTTTTATGTTTGGTTATGCTCTTGGGGTTTCTTCAACCTTTGAAATAAGACAAAAATAGCTCAGGATAGTGCTGGTCTTTTCCCCTGATATTGTCTCCTTCCACATAATTCTTTACTTCTAACCAAGAGGTAATGTCAACAGATTGAATCATAACTGACAGGCAAAATTTTAAAGCATTCTAAATGTCACTGGACCTTTTAATAAAATTAATTAGTCTGACACAGAGAAAATTTACTAGCCAGCTGGTTAATTTCACAATATAAAATCATGGGATAGATGGAAAAGCAGGCGAAAGCTTATTACTTTTAAATAATTATTTAAAGATGTGTTCCTTGGCCCTTTTGATCATGGATTGTGAATACGGCTGGAACTTTTAAAATCTTCTAAATTCACAAGTAGTCAAGTTTCCCTGAAGAAATCTAGTCTTGTTGAAACTTCAAGTTATCAAGTACTTGTGAAAGAATGTGTCTCTGATTTTGCAGAAAACTGGTGAAGGCCTTAATCTTGATTTTTTTTTTTTATTTTCTTTTTTATCAGTGTTCCCAGTAACACTTAAACATAGATCAGTTGTTTGGAAATTGTGCCCAATCCTTTTATGAATTCTGATGAAATGGTGCTCCAGATAAGTAAGACATCCAAAAGTATTCGTCTGCCATTGTGCATATTTTAGCTTATGGGAATTCTGCACTAAAGAGCACCAAGTGCCAATACTTTTGCCTAAACTGTAGTGGAATCTGCAAATGTTAGAAGCACCTAACACTGTATAATCCAAATGTAGTAGCACTTGGAAGTAATTTGGTAATGAGGATTAATTTGTTGTTGGAAAGTACACTTTAGGCGTCTGCATAAGATTTAGAAATCTTTATCTGGAAATTTTCTTGTAGGTAATTTTCTGATGGATGAAGCTAACTCAAATGTGAAATTCTCTGTGAAGATAGTTTAAAATCTGTAATACAATCTAAATTTTCTTGCAAGGTTATCTACTTGTCTAAATCCCAAGACTGCTAGCTGCAAGATAAACAGATCTCCCAGTTTTCATAATTCTGATTCCCATGCACACAGGGACAATTTAAATGTCCCAACTCAGTTCCTTTCCATCCAGCCTTCTATGCTACTGTGAAATCTGTGCTGTTCATTGATATCCAGTGTTCCCAGCCTGGCCAGCTACACAAGAAGCTGAACGCTTGGCAGGTTGTAGCTTTGACTGCTGAATGTACTGAAGAGTAGAACTCCATTCTCCTGGGACAGTTTATGATAAGTTCTTGTCTGAGTGTTGCAATTTAAAATCAGAACGAAAATGCAATTTGAAAGTAGTAAGATATTAACTGGACATAAATATGTCCTTTAAGTAGGTCAGATCTCTTTCATATTTTTCAGGAAACAAGATTGAATTTGCAGTATGTTTTCTACCAACTAATTTGTGATTGTATCCCATACAGCTATTCTGTGTGTTGATGACTCCGTAGTAGATTTGGAAACACTGGAAGCACTATATGAAAATGTAAGTAGGTTGAGATATGCCAGTGGTTAATCACCATATCTTTCAGAAATTCAGATATGCAGCAAGCTAAGTTTTATTTTATGTTGTAGTTTTTGACCAGAGACCTTATGTAGGACAAGTCTTTAAGGAGTTTAACAATAATTGGATAGGCAAAATCAAACGATACCTAATGAGATACATGTTTCTCTACTTGGCTTATTTCTTAAAACATTAAACATCAAACAAACATTAAACCAGGGGCCTGCTTTTGGAGCTGGGAGAAAATTATGTAGTTGCAAATGATGTAACAGTAACAAAGGTTGATACACCTATCACTTGTCTCTTCTGTACTACCTGAAAAATACTGTCCTTACTCAAGACCTGTTACTTGCTTGTGTGCTGAGTTCTCTAATTCAAGATGTTAGTGGCTAAAACAGTTCAAGCTAGTGCATTGCTGTTCTGACAAGTTGCTCTACAGATACTGTTTATTAATTTAGGCTGTTTGACTCTAAAGTTGTATACAAGAATGCATTTACACTTGGTTGAAGAAATACCAAAGCTACTTCTGAGATCTAAGCGCTTTGAAGCATCCTGTAGCAATATTTGCAGGGCTACATTCTATAAGTCAGTGCTAGCTCATGGAACCTCAGGAGCCTCACTCTTTTGCACATTCTAAATGTGTTTGAAAATATAATTATTTGCAGAAAAGCAAGTAAATTAGCAATTTACTAACTCGTTAAAAATTAGTTATTAATCACTTTATATTAACTCACTCAGAGAGCACAAAAGGATGAACTGGAAAAAATCGAGCAATATTATCAGACTTCAAAAGAGGAGGAACTGAAGCTTCTGGATAAACCAGAACAGTAAGTTGTTTTTTTTTTCTTACTATTTTATTGCTACGTAGTGTGTGGTCCTTGGGTGATATGTTTAAAAAGGATTTTGATACAGTTTTTTGCTAGTTAATTTTAAAAGCTTTTCTGTATTTCAAGGCATGATGTGAAGCTTGTATTTATGTCACTTTTTTCAGACATTCACAGGTATACTAGATCAACCTGAGCATCAGAACTTATTAAATATGCAGTCTTGATTCAATAAGAAATTCTATTTCCATTCTCTCATTTATAAAAACCTTGATTTAAGGCATAATTAGTATCCCATGAAAGCAGGGCCAGACTGATTTTTGGTTGTTGATACTTGGAAGATCTCCCCAGATAGAGGGCTTTGGAATGTCATAGAATCAGAATCATAGAATTGTAGAATGGCTTGGATTGGAAGGAACCTTAAAGACCATTGAGTTCCAACCCCAGTGAAGCAGGATCATTCATATATATATGAAAGTAGGCAGGCATATACTTTTCTGCCCCTGTTAATATGGAGGTAGTGATATCCAGTTGTTCCTTTTGCTCTTTAAAATTACAGTGGTGCTCATGCAAATCTTGTAAGAATGAGAGCAAAATATTGTGCAGTTCCAAAGAATCAAAGAACTATAGAAAGTCTTGGGTTGGAAGAAAACTTAAGGATCATCTTTATCCACCTTGTGAACAGGGCTCCACCTACTGGATCAGGCTGCCCAGGATCCCCTCCAACCAGACCTCGAATGCCTTCAGGAATAGGGCACTCACAGCGTCTCTGGGTAGCCTGTGCCAGAGGCTCACCAGCTTCTGTGTAAAAAATGTCCTCCTAAGATCTAATATAAATTTCCCCTCTTTTAGTTTTAATCCATTCTCCCTTGCCCTATCACTATCTATCTGTGTAAAAAGTCCTATGCTCAAAAAAAAATCTACGCTTAAGATAAACTGATAGAAGACCTACAAAGCTGATTTCACAGTTTGTCCACTGTGACTTTTGCGAGCAGTGAGAAACGTTAGGATGAAATGATTTTTAGGTGTTGCTCTTGCTGTTGTACACTGCTGACCAATGTAAAAATCATAAAATGGTAATTCTGAATTTTATTTTAATGCTTGTATTTAATTTCAGATTTAAGCCTCACAATGGTGTCTGTCTTCTATTGTTTTGCTGCTTTTCCCTATTTTTCCATCCTTTCCTAATCACAGCAGTTTACTTTGATTTCTCTGCCACTTTGTACCTTTTCTCTCTCTTTTTGTCTTTTCTTCTCTCTTTGAGAGAGAAGGAAAAAAACAGGTAGCAACAGGAAAAACTGAAGCAACAGAGATAGCATACGACTTGATGTCAGGAGTATTATATATTTTCCCTATTAGAATGTTGGTAGTGAAGAGCAGATTTTGTTCCTCTTTTCCTTATGCAAAGCAGATGAATACTCACTGCTAGTAGTTGCATGCAGTCCACAGAATAGGTTCATGTTAGGAGTTGGGCTTGTCATGCTCTCTCATGTTTTACTTAAGAACACTTAAACTTTAAAGTATATACAAACTTGTTCATGTATCCTGTGTCCATGGTTTTCACTGTCTTGGCTTAGGGCTTAGTAATGCATTCTGTGACTAGTTTATGTTTTCAAGAGTTTGAATCATTGGGAACCTGCAAGTCTGAGTAAAATAAATAGAAATGTACTTCATGTTCTGCAGAATATGAGTCTTGCAGAGTTCTAGACTTGTAAAAGTTTGTCACTTTTTGTAAATTATATTGCAGAGAGATTGATCTTAAATGCAGTGTTTGATTTAGACTATCATAGTTTCATAATTAAAATTAAAGAACTTCAAATAAAGCAGTTGTGCCTGATCATTCAACATAAAATAGTGGTACGAAAGGTAGAAGTTATTCATCAATTCTTATACTACCTCTGAAAGTCTTATTATCCTCTTTTTACTGTTAAATTGCATAGGCTAAGAAAATTGGTTTGTCAAAATGATGCCTCAAGGAAGAAACAAGTTGCCCATGACACAAATTATTACTTAAGAAATTTTTAGTGCTCCTTAAAAGGAACATCCTTTCTGAAAACTCAGCAGTTCAACTGCTGCTGGTTTAGTTGTCAAAGTCAGCCTCTAAGTCAGCCTAAATGTCAAATTGGAGTTTTATTGGAACTGTGTATGCATATTAACTCCATAAAATGTTAAAGACAGAAAAATGCAAAATTGTAGGGATGGTTAAAATAATTTGCTAGACGACGTAAACCTGATGTGTTTAATAAGGATCAGAACAAAAAGTGCAAAGTAAACTTTTCATAAATGGTTGTGAATACTAGCCATTCACATTCATATACTGAAAACATTGACTTGAACTCACTAAAGTCTTACAGAAGCCACTGCCGTTTTAAAATGGCTTGGATTCACAAACAAAAAGAAAGCATTACTGGTATCACTAATGCTCTCCTGCACATGTGATTTTGATCTGTTTTATAGCATATTACACTTGCTGTTGTTGGCACAGACTGTAAATAAATCTCAGCAATGTGACAATATTCCCCTAACTTATGCTTCATAATAATAGTTATTAGAATGCTAATATTCATTAACACAATAAAAAATTATATGAATAGAATATGGATAATGGCCACAACATGGGGCTTTCCTAGCAGGATACAGATGCTTTAGCTTGTTTCCAAAAAGATCCTGTTAGTTATAATATAATCTCTGAAGTCTTTGCTACTGTGGAAGAAATAACAAGGAAATGGTAGCAAAATATGGTACTGAACAGTTCTGTTTTATATGTAGTTTTAATTCAGAAAGTAGTGGACTATTAATAATTGCAAATAAAATGAAGCTTTCTGTCCAGTTAATGCTATTTGGTTGACTTTTGCACACGAATAACTTCTATTTACTTCAGTTTAAATCCAACTGGTTTCCTTAGGAGTTTGAATAATAAGATGCAACTTTTTCTAGCCCACCAAAATTTCTTAATTTTATATTCCTCAAATCTGAATAAATGTGAGCTGATATATAGTTTATGACCATAGAAACAGCATACTTTATTTCTCTTCTGAAATAATATTCTGTTATACTAACTACATGAAAATATGCAGGACTTTGAAAGTACTTTCAAGTCTTCTGTTATAAGGTTCTGGTAGGATAAAAGAATTCTAAATGAATGTATTTTTTATTTACAATTTCTGCAGGAGTAAATGGACCTCACACAGATGAATTACAAAATCTCTGTTTTCTTTAGGCAATGAAAATTGTAGCAATGAGAATCCATAATTATGTGACAGTCATCTCATTGTAACTTTAAGTCAAAAGCATACTTTCCTCATTTTAAAATTCCAAAACTGATTGAATTAAAAGTATTCTTTTTTTTCTGAAAAAGCTCTGTCCACATGAATGTGGTGGTTTATCTTTGATAGCCTCAGGTTTAGTAATTGCTAACATAGATTCCTCTTTGTGATATATTTTGGTTACAACTGTTCAGTCAGGATATTTACAGTGAATACTTTGAATTCCAAAATCTGGATACATTTTCTTGTTATGCTAAAGGTTTTAATTCTCAGCATAGTTATGTAGTATTCAAAGACTGGAAAACTAAATGAAAGTCCCTTTTTCAAGGGAAGACAAGAAAAGAAAATGCATTATTTTGATTTTTAAATGTAAAATGTTGGAATGTATGTATGTCAGAACTTTTGTGGAGCAGTTGGGGCTTTTCTTCCTTTTGTTTTTCTCACATGGAGTACTTATAAAGTATCCTCTTTTTTTCTTTTTTTTTTTCTTTTTCTTTTTTCCTGGCAATACCATTCATTCCCAATAGGAAGCATTTTTATTAATAACAGCTTGGCATTTCTTTTTTTCCCACTGCTTCAATGCAGGAGCCAAGGCTGGCCTCCCCAGTCCTTCTTTCAATGGATTTTCTCATAAGGCAAGAAAGAAAAAGGAAAAATGATAGCTAGTTTCACACCATCCACAGGTGGATGTTACAATTTTTTTTACACACTCACTGTGTATTGAGCAACACGTTGCACGCATTAGGCATTATAAAATATATTGATATTAGTTATTATAAAAAAAGAAATAGTTTGAAGAAATCAGATGAATTGCTTTAAATAATTAAAACAAATTTAATAATAATTCAAGCTAATAATAGTTCAGTAAATGTCCCAGAATTCAGTGAGGTAAAAGAATCCTTAAGCCATCACATTAAAGGGAATCTAGGAATATCTGTAGACAGGAGAATACAAGAATTCTTCTGTAGTGATATTGGACCTAAAGATTTCCTCGTGTTTCAAAAAAGCAAATGTAGAACTGAAATCCTTGACACAAAACCACAAAGTAAATTATGCAAACCTTGTTATTTTAAGAAATGTTTAAGTTTCTTGTATTATTTAGTCTAACTCTTAAATTTTAAATTAAAGAAGCAAAATGGAAATAATTGTTTGTATCTTTGAGTGCTTTTGTTTTGTGATATTTGACCTGAAATTGTTAAATATACTTTTATTTATTTTTATTTAAAGAGCTAAAAGAAAAAAAGCTGGAATAGTCATGAGAAGAGTGGGTAGATGAGTAGGAATAATGAACAGAAACAGAAAGTAACTTTACTGAACAGTGGAGAGAGGGATAATTTGCTAGTATTTGAGAGTTAAATACACAGGTATGTGCATTACCATAAAGCAAGCTGCTATATAATTGGAAGCATGGTGCAAATTAGTAAAAGAAAATTGTGATTGAGCATCAGAAGAGATTTCTTGGTAGACATTCTCTATTATGAAATAACTCTGTAAAAATATGTTGAGTTCTGTATTGCTGGGCATGTTTTTAAGTGAAGCAAAAAGCACATGAGTAAAAGCAGTAGATAGATTGTGATTCCCTAGCCTTTTTTTTTCTTTGTGTTATGATTCCTCTTGTTTGCTAGACATGACATTTGTGATAAATAGTGGGTTAGTGTCATAAGAGCCAATGTCTTGCATTTTTCTTCATATAAATAGGGCCGCTAAACACACAACATAAAAAACACTAAGCATAAAGAATATAGCAATTATAAATTCTGTCAGAATTATTTTGACAGATTGTTGAACATTGCAGGTATGTATTTTATAGTACAACAGTTTAATTCATTATGTACTTCACAGATATGAAATGCAATGATTCATTGGTATTCTTCTTTGCTGTTTTTTTTTCGCAGATTTTTATACGAATTATCTCAGATCCCCAATTTCACAGAACGAGCTCAGTGTATTATTTTCCAGTCAGTTTTCTCTGAAGGGATAACATCAGTTCACAGGAAAGTTGATATCATAACTCGTGTTTCCAAGGTAAGTCCTAATGGGAAACTAAACAAACGGTATAATGTCCTGGCCAGGATGTTACTTTATTTTTTATTATTTATTACGTGAACAGTGTCTTTTGAACAACTTTTCTGCCATAAGCTACCCATGCTCTATCCCTACTTTTATCCATAGTTTTGCACATTCTGGTAATAAAAGTAGTTACTTAGTGTTACCTTTCAAAAGGAGACATAAATAAGAAAGTGGCTTTATTTGAGATCAGGAAAGAGGCATTTCTCTCAGTTTACTTAAAAAGAGCTCACATGACAATTGATTTTTTTCAGTGAGAGTCAGATTCAGATCTTGGCTGATAAGATAGATGTCTTTGTATGGAAATTAAAATAATTTATTAATTCTTCACTGTGTTTCTAGATTTCATTTTTATTTTAAGGCATTGAAATTTTGTCCTTAACCCTGTTACATCTGCCCTAACTATGAACTGAAATGTGGATTTTCAGAGCATGAGAACCAATGAGAAACAGGCTGAATATGATCAAGTCTAACCCAATGGCAGCAAAAATAACATATCTTCATTTGACTGCATTGTGTAAACTCATGACAAACCATTTTGTCTGTAAGATTTTTTAAAGCGTGTTTAGTAATCTATAGTGAAACTTCCTCCATTAATCTTTTTGTCATCTGCATAGTATATAATGGTATATAATTTACCTCATGTGGATTAAGTTAAAGATAGTATCTTAGGCAGCTTTAGTCTAATAAATTCTTCTCTTAAATATTTGATTCATATACCAGTTTTAGATTCTTTTCCTTGTAGCATACATGAGAAACAAAACATTGTCTAGCAAAAGTAAAATTTAAAAAGCTTTGTCATATGAGCAATTAAGATTTCTGTGCCGACAGATTCAGACTAGTATCCATTTTCCAGGCTTTGCTGAACATGACGAGTGTAAAGGAGATTTTAGGTTTGATTCTGGCGTTTGGAAATTACATGAATGGTGGGAATAGGACTCGAGGTCAAGCTGATGGATTTGGTTTGGAAATACTCCCCAAACTAAAGGATGTCAAAAGCAGAGTAAGTACTCATTTTCTCTTAAGAACTACTTAAATTATCTCCCTGTCAGAAGTTAATCTTGTCTCACTTCTTACCGTTTTCAGCTTGAAAGAATGAAGCATTTTTGTACCATATTCTAGTTTCTTTCTCTCAAGATTTTAACTTTTTCTTCTGCACATATGCATATAATCTCCTATTTCTCCTGTTCAATACCACTAAGAATATGAAAACTTTGTGTCTATTTTATTAGTGGAAACTTAAGTACAGTACGGAGAGAAATGTGAGAGAGCACAGGCCACTAAAGTTGTCTCTGACAACTGTCCCTTTTTTGTCTTGCTCTTATGGTAGGTGCATATGAGTAAAACCTTTTCAAGATCAGGTTTAAAAAACGAATATCAGGAAGAGTTTTCTGTGTAGAGTATACACAAAACAAGTACATATAAAGGATATAAATATATAAATTAGAGGATTTTAATTCACTTCAAAAAGGTGTCTCAGATCCAACAAATTATTTTCAGACTTTTTTTTTTTTTTTTTTTTTTTTTTTGTATTGGCTGTAAAATGGATGTAGATCGTGAATTCTGAATGGCGTGCAGAAGATAACACTTAGACATGGCAATAAATTACTTTGTCAAAAATTGAGAACCACTAGCCCATTTTTGGTCATTTATGTTAGAATCAAAACAAGGCTTCATGGAAGTGTCCCCAACTTTTGAGATGATGTTAACTTTCACTGGGGAAGATGACAAGGTACTAGGTAATCTAGACAATGGAAACACCACTCAAAGATCCATGCCTGCCAAAGCATACCTGGATGCTATGTGGATAAGGAAACTACCAAAGAGTAGGAGTTATTTTCTGCTATTGTTGGTAAGGATTTGGAGGCTGAGAAAAAACTAGTCTGCAACTCTTTCGCTTTTTTTACTTGAAGTGCTGTTCTGAATTATAAGAAAGTTACAGTTTAAGCTTTTGTTCCCAGTTATACTGGATGTACATAGAAGTGCTCTCATTTTGGGAGACAAGCGTTATCAAATAAATAGTATGTCTAGGGAGCTTTTTGTATTTCTTCTGTGAGTACCTTCACTAGCAGAGTATGAAAACGAAGTTTAATAAATTGTTCAGTGAACCAGAAATTTATGGAAGTTTTTTTCAATGTATTTATGTCTTCCATCTCCTAACTCTTACTTTCCTCGTCACCTCAGTTATTCAGTTGTCCCCTATAACAACTTTTCTTCTGTCCTACTCCATGGAGGCGATACGTGGGCTGTCTTTAGCTGCTGTTTAGCTAAAGAAGCTTAAGGCCAGCTTCTCGGTGTTCATGTGTTCATTGGTCAGCCAGCTGCCACAATGAAAAAAATTAAAACTGAGCTTTGCCTGACTTTTGTAAGATGAAGTACTAGTTTTAGTCCCCCTTTTCTGTCTACCATGAACTTGTAAGAATTTTGTCTTCTCTGGGACTTTCCAGTTTGGCCGGGTTTAGTTAGCATGCTCCAAAATTATGAGTTATGAAAAGGAGTGACAGATGTACAGTGTAACTGCATGAGACTTGTTCCTTAGCAAAACAAGATAAAAAATTACAGTACTTATAGTATTTTTTGGTAGCCAAAGTAAATACATTATTAGTTTATATTACTGTGAAGAATGGGACTAGTCTGCAAAATGCATAAAAATTCACAGAGACCAGCTGCTATAGGCAGACAACTGGGGACTGTACTTGCAAGAAAGAATGGAGGGTCTTACACATTTAACAGTGTTGCGTCCTTTTTTGGGAATTGCCAGCAAAAAATGTGATTACTAGGAAGCTAAATTCAAGGAGCTAAGGTAAGCTGTCAAAGTTTAGTATCTTTAATTTAACGTAAAGTTTTTTTGTTGTCACATGAGCCAAGGAAAGTACTTGATACAGAGGTTAAAAAAATCATAGCTCACTTCAGAATCTCTGTATTTTGTCTTCTAGAAGCACTGTTTAATCTAAAGTGATAGGTTTCATAGTTTAACATAGAAACTAGAACAACAAGCATATTTTTCTTTAGAAGGGCAATCAAATATTCATAAGCCACCTCAGTTCGTTCTTGTCACTGAAACTGCCAGCAATGTATTCTGCAACTGCTAGATAAGCAGAGTAGTTTTTACTTATGACAGCAGTGACTTAGTTATGCTTGTGTATGATATTATTAAGATGTGGTGTGTTGCAGGCTGTAATGAAGGTGAGACAGCCTCATATATGAGGCTAGACATTGTTCACAAATGTTTGTACCAATAGCTGTCAATACGGAAAATCTGTCAATATGGAAAATAAAAACATACAAAAAGAGAAATTGAAGACATCCCAGTTATAATTCCCTTTATTATAATTATTTTATACTGTTGAATGATATACTGTAAGGTATAAGATCCAGTTTTACGTTTTTTCTTTAGTTGATCTACCTTATGCTACCAACAACATATAGCAAAACAAAATGTATGGGTTGTTGCATGCAGGACCAAGGAAATGGAGATTCCAAAAAGAGAGCATTAAAATTCATGTCCATAACCCAAGAGGGCAGGAAATATACTTGTCAGGTACATGCTGTCTGGTTTTATGTTTGGAGTAAAATATGGCTCCATCCATTCCTTCATTAATCATACAACATTTAACATTTGTATGAATCCATAACCCCTTTTTAATATTCTGTTTTTTCCCCTAGGATAATCGTATTAATCTTGTGGATTATGTTGTCATATATTACCTACGCCATTGTGATAAGGTAAAAGACTCGTTTGCTGTATATGCCTCTCTAAAAGTGGTTTTTTTAATTTTTTTTTTTTGCCTAATGCAAAAAATAAAATCTATTTTCTTTAGCTTTTTGCAATAGCTTTAGACCTCGATAGGTCTGAAATTTACTGTGGTAAAACTGTGGAAAATCCTACATTAACTGTGGAACTATACTTTGCAAGCAATTGTCTCTGACTATTGCAGGCTGTACAGGTTTTCACTTCAATCCCTTCTTGTTATGTTCTGGTTACTGTAACATTGCAAATTTTGTTTTGATGCAAAAAGAGTGGGAGACAAGCAGTATTTCTCTCTTATAACAGAATATGATGGCAATTTAACCAAGGTGTCCTGGTTGAAAGAGATGAAGTTAGAGATCAGAATGTAGGAATGTAAATGTTACCCTTGTACTTTCATTTTTCCCTAGGTGTTCTTATCTTCCTAACAATATAAGTGTTTTTTCACTTTTCACAAAACACTTTTTCTCTTACCTATGATTTTTCCTTTATTTCAGACTGAAATCTGTGTACTGTGTACTTTAAACCCACTAGTCTAAGATTTTAATGGTCTTTTAATACCACCTCTACACTTGAATTAATGGATTTCCCCCGGAGATACACTTTAAATCTTGTAATGTTGCTTGTTATTGTTTTTCCACTTCTGAAATACTTTAATTTTTCTAAAATAATATATATGCTTATGAATTCCATAAAGGCATTAAACTATGTGATTTATTAAGCTGAATAGACTATATATTTTTTATCTGTCTAAGTGCTCCAGGCAATATGTAAATATTGTTTTCAATTTATCCATATAAAGTGTGTATATATCTAATGAACTGGGTAAGAGTGAAACCACAAACTTCTGGCATAAGATCACTTGTTCCATTAAAAAAGGCATTCATGTTATCTAGTTTTAAGAAACTTATAATCCCATAACTAAACTTTTAATGATATAAAATGAACTGAAATCTCAGGAGCTCAGTGTTGCTTCATAGTTTAAACTGAACAGTTTGCATAACATCTAACGGGAAGTTTCAACATTCAGAATGGTCAGGATTTTACCTGAAATTATATTTATGCTGTTTTGGGAAGAACTATTTTTATTATTATTTTTAATTTTTTGCTGTTCTATAGATGATGTTTCAGAAAAGTAATTTATTTCACTGCAAATGCATTTAATTTTCATAGAGGCCTATTTGTTTGTTTGTTTAGGAAGCAGGAACAGACAAGAGTATTTTTCCTTTACCAGAACCACAGGATTTTTTCCAGGCCTCCCAAGTTAAGTTTGAAGACCTAATAAAAGACTTAAGGAAGCTGAAGAAAGACCTAGAAGGTAACTGGCAACTTTCACATTTGTTCTGCAAACAACTAAGAGCCATTTAAAATGTGATCTTTATGAGGTTAGCTTATTGCTAATTAGGTTTATAGTGTTGATTGTAGTGTTTTTACACTGTGGTAGAAAGTAACCACATAAAATAGAAAAAAATATTTTGAACTCATGACTTAATAAAAATGAAAGTACAAATACCGTAAAGTAATTTTCTGTAATTCCCTTTTGCAATTGAAATATCCTTAAAGAAATCTTTCTGAAATGTTATGTATTATTTTTCCTCTGGCTTCTCCATAGCTGTGTGTTTAACTGTAGATATCTGCTAGGTTCGTAACAAATACTTTCTTCACTACTTGTATAACAACAATTTAACAGCTTCAAGAAAGAGTTGAATTAGTGTAGAAATAAAACACATCTTGCCAAGGCATAGCAAAGGGAAATTGAAAGCTCTGGTTCAAAACATTTTCACCCTGGGACATAAAATAAACATTTTAAAATATTTATTATAAACAGGGGGTTCAAAAACCCAGCTCATCTATCAATCAAGGTATTGAGTGGATATAAAGTAGGAATGGTTGCTCTGTAAGTATTCCAAGCAGTTTCATTTTTATTTTGTGATTCATATGACTCTTAAAAATAAATCCAGTAAAAGGTGACTGGATATTTTAAGCCTATCATTTTTGTTAAGGAAATTTCCTAGTTTTACTGAAGCAGTTATGTGTAGAAAATAGAGATTAGAGACAGAATCTGTATAAAAGCTTATATTAAAAAAAAGAAAAAAGCTTCTCCATTTACAATTAGATAACGTCTGCATCAAAATGCAAGTGTACTTTTAGAGTTAGAGTTGATTTTTTAATGTAAGGCAATGAAAACCATTACAAAATATATTATCCTTACAGTTAGGAATGGCTGGGTTAGGTCACTGCCATCTTGGGATAGTTTCAAATGTTGACAGTGGTAGGAAAGTGTCAGTTGTTTTTTTTTTCGACCCAGGCATAAGTGAGTGCTCTATCTCCTCTCATCGCTTGGCCCTGTAAAACCCTTGGCCTGCCCTCTGTTGGGCTAGTTTGTGCAGAAACGTGATCTGTGTTTGATCTTGTACTTTATCAGCATATAGTCCTGCAGTAATGCATCTTAGTCTTGCGGGATCTGCACAGAGGCTGTGACATTCACATCGTATTTGCTCTACGCTGCAAAGACAGAGACAGGAAAGAGCAAAAGCTAATGTACTTCAACTCACTTACAAAATAAGAATTGTTGCTTTCTTGTTATCACTGACTTGTTTTAACATGTTTTCTTAGATATCCAAAGACAATGCAGAAAATGTGTTGCACTGAGGTTATTTTCAAAATTCTTCTTTGAAAAGATACAGTTGAAACCCTGTCAAAGCAATTAACATATAAAGCTAACGACAGCAAGAATTTGAAACAGAAAAGGTTGTGGAAATGTTCTCAGATGTTGGTATTTTATCAATCAGAAATATGCAGCAGAATTCTAACAAGTATTCCTGTGAATAATTTCTCTTACATTTAAACAAAGAAGCAATCACTCATATAAGAATGTTGTATCTCTTTCAAACATTCCCTCTCTTTTTTTTTCTCTTCAGATAATGCTACAGTTTATTTTTAAATCAAAATTTTAATTGAAGAGGTTATAATTTTAACACGTTCAACAAAGATTTGATGAGTCTCTGTAGTTTATTGTAGCCATTAAAAAGTTGTGGTTGCTGGCAGAATACCAGTGAAAGTCTAAAGCTGAAACAGATGTGAGTAGCAGAAACCAAGTCCAGAGAAGCGTCGGGCCCAGCTATCCAGACAGGCGCGGCCCTTCAGATGTAAATAATTTGAACAATATTAACTGGCGCTGCCTGTGATATAGGGTACATTGGATTTATTTCACAGTATGGTTGGCTAAGGTAGTCTTAAACAGCTTGCCATGGAAGTGAGATGAGGCAAAGATAATAAATGGAAGAGGTTTTCTTGTGTGTGTTTAGGGAACAAACTAATTTTCCTGTTAGTGATTTATTTCCGAGATTTATACAAAATGATTAAAAACAACATCATTGTCACCTGCTGTGCCTGAAATAACAATTTTGGTAGAGTCTTTTTGTAGTAGTCATCACTTAGTACTTAAAATTTTTAAGTACTTTTCAACTTTTAATCATCTATATTGACACAGGAAAGACTGGAGATTCGTGAGAGAAACGCATGTCTTCATAGTCTAAACCTTAGGTGTGCAATACCTAGACAGTCTGGAACTGAGAGTTCAGATGACCTAGATGAGCAGAAACCCTTTCATCCATTTCAGATAAACAGATTGAGTTACGTACAATTTAATATTGAAGTCCTTCAGATTACACTTTAAGGAAACAGTGCAAATGAAATTTTGCCTTGGAAATTTCAACTTTTTTTTTTTTTTTTCTGAGAACCTTAATCCAGCAAGTTTCTAACACACATTCCAGAACAAACTTTGTAGTTCTAAGTATTTTCAGGTTAAAAAGGATAATAAACAACAAAGTTTAATGTATCTTTTTAAGGGGAAAGAAGTTCAAAAGGATGTGATGGGAAATTGTGAGATAGCAATTATAGGCTGAAACCTGGTTTTACTCTAAAGTCCTAGGAAAAAATGTTTGCTCTAGGGTCAGGATTTCACTACAGGTCTATCAATGGATTTCCAGAATCCTCGAGTACTGTGTAGTAGTATAAGCGAATACATTTATTCAATTGATAGATATTAGCTTTCCAGTTAATTTTCATGTTTCTGAAAACAAAGGTTTTTTTCTGTATCAATGTTTTTGACCATGATATATCTTACTCCTTGCTTAAAGAGTTTGTTTGATGTCCCATCAAGTGGTGTTCAAGGCCAGATTGGATGAGCCCCTGAGCAGCCTGCTCTTGTATTAAATGTGGGGGTTTGTGGTTCTGCATGTGGCAGGGGGGTTGGAGATTTGTGGTCTTGAAGGTCTCTTCCAACCCTGGTCATTCTGTGATTCTGTGTAAGGAAAATATTACCATTTTTTCATTTCTGTATGATCAGGTATTTCCTTTCTAGTTTGAACAGTATCACTTGATTAGTATTCTTCTGAAAGAAGCATGGAATATTTGAAATGTGTAGTCATTCTTATGAAGATTTTTAGAAAGCAGATCTCTTCACCAAAGTCTTGCATATGTTTTACCGTGAATGTGGAACAGATTCTAGCTGCCGTTTTCACACTACCAATTTTTTAAATGCTGTATATGTTTTAACTTTTTTTAACTTAAGAGTGTGCATTAAAAAAAAAAAGAATTTAGAAACAAGACTTACTGGATCAGCTATCTTTAATTATCAGTTGAATTTCAGTTCTCCAGGAGACATCATTTGGAGCTGCAGCTGCAGTCCTCAGATCATTTTGGCAGATCTGTATCTTAACAACGTATGTTATCCCCAACTTTCCCACTTTTAAGTAGTGCACAAACTCATATTTTAAAATTGTTTCATCCTTTTAGAAAATCAATACAAAATCCTTTTCGAAAAATCAAAGGGTAAACTAGCAAACCATGCATAGAAAAAAAAAAGGAGAAACATTTTCACATTGTTTTTCTTACAGAAGCATTACAAATATCTTAAATTTGTAGGCAAATAGTAGTTGGAAAGTACCTCTGGAGATCAACTAGTCCAAAATCTTTGAGCAGGACTAACTTCATATTCAGTTCCATTTGTGTTGGACTTCACTGAGCTCAGTTTTGTGTCAAAGGATAGAGATTCCAACACATCTCTGGATACTTGTTCCAGTGTTGAACAACTCTGTGGACTTCTTGCAAAGAAATAAATGCATTTTGCTGGATGTACTTGGCATAGGGTTGCTGTACTGGTACCAGCATCATGGCTAATTAACCTTGTCTCTCAGCAAGTCTGACTAGACTAGTGATTACTATGCTGTTGTATCTACATTATTGTCATTCAGTGCCTCCCTCAGGGAGCTCTGTATGACATTGGAACAGAATTTAGAAATAAGAAATTGAAAAGGGTCACTTGTTCTCAATTCTTGCTGCCACTGTCACTGTAAATAGAGCAAAGAATGAAGCTGCAAAAAGGAAAAATAATCAATTCATGCTCATTTAAGACTGAAGTGTTCAGTTTTAATCATTTTCTGATTAAAAAATTTGAAAAATATTTATTTTTATCAAGAATTATGAGGAAATATATTTCTCAATAGGAACATACAAATAATAATAATAAAATAATAACATAAAACCACAGAAAAGCTTTATGAGTGTCTTAGCACATTAAAATTCTTAAATGTGTATATTCCCTTGGAGTCTTCAAAATGATTTAGAAAAAACAAAAGTTTGCAACAGTACGTTAATGAAGTGTAAGCCTATTTTGTTCTTGAAAGTAATTGACATTTTCAGTTGATGAATTGAGAATTTTTCAACTTTTATTAAACTTCTGTATAAGCAGAAATGGAAAAATTAATTGAATATATTAACATTTGTTCACACAGAATCATACATTTAATTCATATGAAGTATTGTATGCATGAGAACAATCTATTTTATAGAATAGTTTTAGTATAATTATAATACAATAACTATCAATAGAATTATGATTACAAAGATGAAAGATACTGTCTATGGTTCTATTTGTTTTAAAGACAGTCAGGTTAATGAATTGCAAAGAGAAAATTCTATACACTATATCAGCTTGGTTAACTTTCTGAATAATTTCTTGGCTCAAGAGATATTTTTTGCCAAAAGCTGATTGTTAATTCGTTACAGAAGGACTTCATTCAAAAAATTATTAAAAGCCCTTTTCAAAAATACATTTAACAGATTGATGCCTTAGACTAATTTAAATGAAGTGTTTTAAGTCACTTTAATAGTGGGGTTTAGACATCTGAGTTGCATACATTTTTGGAAAAATTGGCCCAGGATGAGCAGGAAAACTGAATTGTTTTCCAGAAACCAGTAGCTCTTGATATATATATATATATATATATATATATATATATATATATATATATA